AGTGCTTTTGGGTGGTCGCAGTAGTCATCCGGGACAGCAACCAAAAACGTAGGGTCGAGATCCTGCACGCGGCCGAGACATTCCCCCGCAAGGAAAGTGACAGGTGTGGAAAACGGATCGCTTACGAACATGTTGCTTCTTCCGGTGGCAAGGTCAATTGTTGCGAAAGGCAGCGGCAAAGCTCGACGACATTTGAAGGTATCGGAAGGCATAAAAAGGACTGTAGCGTCAGTGTAGGCGTTGCATGAAATGGGAACAAGTGCGAAATTTCCAGGCGGAATATCGGTATCTTCATGAACGAGCAACTTCGGCGGCTGATAAAGAGCGTCCAGTAATGGGACATCACACAAGGGTGAGAACTCAGCTTCCGGCGCGTGCGCAGTCTATGACGGCATTATGGCGGGATAGGAAGTCCCACCCGAGGATGACATCATGCGAACACACTGGGAGAACAATAAACTCCACGATGTAAAGAATGCCTTCGATGGAGACTCTTGCAGTGCAGGCTGCGAGAGGCGTTACTTGCTGTGAGCTTGCGGTGTGAAGCGACAGTCCCGAAAGCGGCGTCGTTACTTTGCGTAATAAATGGCAAAGATTAGCGGCAATAACAGAAACAGCGGCGCCGGTGTCCACAAGGGCGAAAATACAATAACCTTCAACAGTGACTGCGACCACGTTAGCAGGAGAGGAGCGAGGGCTTAGACAGTTCGAAAACGGCGCAGTTCTTGCCTCTTGAACTGCGGTGCTTAGTTTTCCTGGTCGGAGGGTCCGGGCCGGCGACGCATGGGGGAGGGCGATCGCTGACGAGGAGAGGGTGCGCGTTGCGGCTGAAAGTCAAGGTGGTCAGTAGGGGCATAGCGAGGGGGCGAGACCGGCCCGTATTGGACGAAGGCTTGGCTGCCGGGATGCGACGACCGGGCATAGTTGCCGAACGTCTGAGGTCGACGGCGGCAGTAGCGAGCAACATGTCCGGGAGTGAAGCAGGCGTAGCAAATCGGTTGGTTATCGGGCGTCCTCCAGGGATTGGCTACTGGTGCTGCCGCCCAAGGTGCAGTATAAGCAGCCGGGTGTGCGGGCTGTGAGCGCGTGGTGTGGGGTGGTTGCGGGAGCCTACGTACAGCGTCTGCATATGTGAGCGGCGCGGCTACATCTCTTGCGAAAAGGCGACAGTAGGAGCCACAGGCTGCACTGCATAGGTTAGGGGCGCGGCCACAGGCTGAACGGCTGGCGGATAGGCGACAGGAGCGCCTACCGGCTGTGCGACACCCGGGCAGTGACCACGGCTAGATATAGGTGGCTCGTAGTGCGCAAGAGAAACAGCTTGTGCAACCTCTTCTGATATAGCAGTGCGAAGCGGGGCAGGTAGACGGGTGGTGGTCTCGTGAGTAAAGGGCACTAGGGAAAGTTGGCGGGCGACTTCCTCACGGACGAAGGCTCGGACTTGCTGAAGCAATGGTGAATTGTCAGGCATGGAGTCGAAACTGGACAGCGACTCACCACTAGGCTGAGGCTGCTGACTCAGAGTGCGTTGCTTCTTCAACTCGTCGTACCTCTGACACAAGCTGCCGACTTCAGAAACTGTGCTTGGATTCCTAGCCAAGAGCATTAGAAAAGCGCCATCGTCGATGCCCTTCAGGATGTGTTTGACCTTGTCATTCGCGCATCGACAAAGGTCGACGACATCCTCAATATAGCTGGTAAAATTTTCTCCAGTCTGCTGAGATCGGACGCGCAAGCGCTGTTCTGCTCGCTGCTTGCGGACAGCCGGCCGGCTGAACACTTCGGCACATGACGTCTTGAAGACGCTCCATGTGGGAATGCTGTGTTTGTGGTTGTTAAACCACAATTCTGCGACGCCAGTGAGATAAAATATGACGTGGCCCAGCTTGTCTGCTTCATCCCACTTGTTATTGGCGCTCACCAGCTCGTAGTGGTCAAGCCAATCTTCCACGTCGGTCCCATCCGCGCCGCTGAAGGCCTTCGGGTCCCGTAGCATAGGATGGCCGGGACAGTTGAACTGTGGCGAAGACGCCGATGGGTTGGCGTTGTTAGTCATGACGGGCTGTAGCGTGCGGCTTTGCAGCTCCAGGGTGTAGCGACGGGGATAAACAGCACGCTCCACCAAATGTGAAGAGGTTTATTAGTAGTTAACGACAACGGCAAGACAGCGTGATGAACTGTCCAGCAGAGACTGGCACAGCAGCGAGCCGAAGCACGAGACGAGAGAGCCGGGCGTTAGCGATGCTGCTCGCTGGGGCACGTCTTCTTCTTCACAATAGAGTTCCTTCTGCTATGTCTGCTCCAAAGCAAGGTTTTTTCTGCTCCGCGAATTGCTCAAAATCTTATACTGGCTGGAGCAGCACTGATACCCAAGAAGCGCTACTTTTTTCACCGACAAAGAAAGGGTCAAGTAGTCATTTTGTGTAGTGTGTGTTCTGCCCAATCTGTCGATACATGTCCTTGTGGGGTATCGTCTTTTGTAGAGGAGGAATGAAATTTTATGTAAAGATAGGTTTCAGGGGCTGGTGTTTGTGCCCCCTGATGATTGATATCGACTGGCTGATGCACTCTCCAAAAATCAATCCATATCCATTCCATTTTCCCGCACACCTTACAAAGAATGCCTTTTTCAGTACCAGATACCAACAATATAGAACAATTTTTTAACCAGTATCGACTTCAAGTTATCTCAGTGTAAATTCATGGAACATATATTGGTAAAGGTGTAGCAACTATGCAGACACCACTGTTTATTAATTTCTACAGTGTTTCTTTAACATTTTTTTTGCATAATAATTGTCTTTGCACAAGTGCATACAAGACTGTGATAAGTAAGGAGACGCACAAGCCGCGCTACAAACTTAGAAGAGCGGCGACGGTGCACAAGGAGAAAACGAGGGCACGCGCAACAGCTATGTTGACGCAGGAGATATGTCGGAAAAAGGCTCATATCACACGACCTGAGCCGTGATGAAAAATCCCAGAGGATGAGCTGGAACTGTGCGTTGGGGCTCCAAGCTGCAAAGACATAGGAAACCAGCATCGCTACAGCGATGAGAGCTGCATAACTGCTTGGTTCTGAAGGATGTCAGTGTGAGAGGTCTGGAAAGTGGCTGTCGACCTCGAAGGTGCTCCCGAGCGAGGCTGCCCGGACTTGCCGTATCCTTGCTTAGCAGTTACTGGTGGATTTGCACCTATCCCATTTATCCCTAGGATTGAAGCAGCCCACACCAGTCAGCAGTGTGGACCCTTCAGCAAGGGAGTCCCTGACTAACTAAACTTAGCGAGGCTGAAGATTTAGTTGATGACTGGGACACCGGCAATGAAGACAAGCGGTTCGTGCAGAAGGAATAACCAATTGCGACAATAGAAAGTGGAGCAACCCGTCAGCGACGGAAGACTCGACGAAACGTCCACACAGCAAGAGGCAAAGAGTTGCAATGCGACAAACTGTAAGAACATTTCATTGTTGTTGCCATATTGGCTCAGGACTAACGGCTAGGGTTAGCAATGGATTTAGACTGAGCTACAATCAGTTTGGGTTTGCCCATGCACGCGGATTGCTGTTGAGTTTTTCAGTGTAATTGAGTTATTGACTGCTTTAACGTGAATGCTGTGTATTAGTTTTGTCTGTTCGGGCTATAAAGTGTGTTTGTCTTGCCACACCCATCTCTCTCTGAAATCTATCCCTTGCAAGCGCTCCTGAGATAAATTAACGTAACAAAGACTTATGTGACACATTGTGTGTTGATTTTGTTTACCTAAAAAGAAGTGAACAAATAAGTTATTTTGTCACTGCATATACAGTAATTCATAGCTACTTTTCTAAAATGCCTGCTGGTCTTGAATGGGTCTTTGGGTGCTCTCAAGATGTCTCCATTTTTCGACTTGATGTTGGAAATACAGTTGACTGGATATACCCAATATCCTCAGGTCTTGGACACCGGAACACTTTGCCGCCACTCTTGCCATTTGCGCTAATTAATGCCCATTGGGCTTCCAGTCCATAGCAGTTGTGTAGAACAGTCTCCTATGTCGATGTACAGCCAATCACATAAATTTACTAACCACGGAAGCTCGTGGCCTACACGCTGTTCAAAATTTCGCTGCGCCAGTCGACAGCAGCACTATGTTTAAGATGCACACACCCCTTAATTGATGGTCTCGCCATTTTCTAGTGAGCACAAATATTTTGCATGAACACAATGAACTAAATCAATATGCTGCACTGCAGTAGAAAATTGATATACCAGTGAGAACAAGAAGACCTGTGTCGAGCCGAGGGCTGCGGTTGACGGTAGGTGGCGTATTTAGATAGTTTGGTACACACTTATGAGATCCACAAGCTTCTGTAGTCGACTGTCCATGGAATGTCGTGGGCATCTTATACAAGAGAATATGCACCCCATTTTCGTCACGTATGCACACAAATGTTCTCTCTCTCCAGAAAAGCTTTTACTTACTTGGTCTTTCCGTCTTTATGGCAGGTAATGTGTTCTGGCTAATGTATGCTTAGTAAGGCCATCTGCCAGACACAAATGCAAGGATGATGTAACTTTTACGTGCTCATCGTCCTCGGTTGTGCAGCACAGGACAAACATGGTTGTAGCTGAACATGCGCTTTTGTAGTGTTTGAACGAAGGACCTGGAAATTTTAAGGGCTCATTAAGAATAGCTAACACACAATGATGCCAGGGAAAGTATAGAAGATGTTATTTGTAATAGTGGTTATAAATGTGAAATAAGTAAAGTGGATGAAAAGATAACTTGCCGCTGGCAGGGACTTGTCCCTGCTGTCTTCTGCTCGCCAATGGTAAATTACTTGCTTGGCCACTTTACTTTCTCCACATTTGTCGGGATAACTGCAACTAACATTCCCTATCCCTTGCATCATTTTCTGTTAGTTCTGGTCAAAATTAAAGTTGCATATGGCTTGTGTTGACTTTGGCTACAACTCAGTATGCCAGTGTGTAATGAATTTGTGTAACATGTGTGTGCAGTGGAACCTGCGCAGCCACATGTCTTGCGCTCGCAGGACGAGCAAGTGGCCCGTGTGGAAGGGATGTGCACCTGGGCTCAAGGCCTTGGCCACACACAGCTGCTCCTGGCTAATTCTCGTATCCTTTCTCTTTGAAAGAATTTCGCTCCAAAATTTAAGTACAGGCACACAGGAAGACTGTCCTTTGATGCCAAAACAACTTCTTTTGCGCATTTCGCTCTCACACCTTGACCGCGGCTCTTAGCGGTGGCTGCCAATCCAGCTGACGTGCACGTGGTCAGACCGAGCTACCTTCGTGAGCCTTTTGACTACTTCTTTTGTGGCATGGGTATCAGACACCTATAAACAAGGAAGAATGATAATTTGCATCATTTGTGAAAGAGAGAAAGCGAAGGGGGGAGGGGGCTGAGCTAGCTTGCACTAGCCTGCTACTCTGTATAGGGGAAAGGGGGAAACATAGTTGATCACTCCGTCTTAAAGAATGGTAAAACACGATAGTGAAACGCGTCTTTATTGAAGTTGTTTAATGTTTACTGTACATTGATACAGTGTAGGTCCAACTGTGCCATTTGCGCCATTTTGCTACAATTCTACTTGCCTGTGCCTCGCTGCGCCCAAAGAAGTGCAACTTGCAACAAGTGCGCCAAAGCTCCACCTTTCTCTTCAATGACAGTAAGCTTATAGTTTGCATTTGTTCTTGGTCTGTCAACAAGTCCCAGGCACTCCGAAGTCTTGTCACTTGTCTGTCAGTTGTCAGTCTCCCGCACATTCATCCAGCAGAATTGAGCGATGAGCAAGTGACTTCCAACAAACGGTTCGGAGAATGGGCAAACGTAAGTATGGTATCTTAATTAAGTATTGTTATCACGGAATCTGTAATCGCAATGTTCATACGAGCTCATGATTATATTGCAGTGGCCTAAACAAGGTTTCGTCGAATCGCATCGTGGATGCTAACGCGTTCTATCGTGTTGGTACTAAAGCAGCTAAAGTGACAGCGAAGCAGACTTGCCATTTCGGGCTCTGTTGTGTAGCCGATGTGTGTATGGTGCTGCTCATCGCAGCCGCAGTGTTTGTCCAAAGTAACAACTTCTAGAAGATACAGCATACTCGTTATCCCTAGAAAAGCAAACGTCGTGAAACGCCATAGTCTGCGGCATGTATAGCGTAGAGTAGCTTTTAGGGGCGAAGCTCTTTATGGCGTGGCTTGTGCGTTCCTCATTGTAGTGCGTAACTACCAGTGGCACATACCCAAAAGAGGGCCCTAGAATGTCTGCTGGATGGAGGCACATGTATATGATGAATACATGATGAAAAGATGTGAGATGGCTGTACTTGGAGTGCTCACTAGATAGATGGACGGACATACAGATGGGCGGACAGATTGATGGACAGACAAAGGGACGGCTACACGAACAGATGCACGGACGGATGGACAGACAAACGAACGTACAGACATAAGAACAACACATGGACGGACGGATGGACGCACTGCCGATCACATGGATAGACGGACACACGGACGGATGCATTAACGGATGGAAGCAAGAACGAATTGGGGGACGAACGCTTTGCCCCACCAATGATCATTCACTCTGTGGATATGCTGAGATTTTTTTTGTTATGAGAGTTGGTGTCCTAATTTTTTTTTTTTTTAGAAAACAAGTTAGCAAATTGTTTTTTTTTTGGGCGAAGAACCAAGCTTAAAGGGGTCTGTGTTCAATGAAACCCATGCCAATAATGACACCATTGACCTTTGGTGCAGAAGTGCAGTTGAAGACATAGAAGCATTGTGTATTGTCTGTAATCGCACTATTGATTACTAACAACATGGTATTGCTCCAGTAAAACTCCATGCAACAACAAAAAAGCACATCCATGCTACTGCAAAATACAGAGACAAAAATGGAAACCTCCTGCCTCCTAAGTTGGTGCAAGCTGCTTTGAATTTTTCACCGGGAGCCTCTAGCACCTCTCTACAAGATCAAGTTCGCAAGGCCGAAGCAATTCTTGCCATGTCTATCACAACCAAGGACATCCCATTTTCATGGGGTGACACTGCAATGAAAAGCCAGCACAGATTGTACCCAGACAGCAGTGTTGCCAAGTACTTCAGATGTGTTACGTCAAAACTCTCACGCATTGTGTCTCATGGACTGAGCCCATAAATCAAATCAAAAGGGGTGGATGAACTATGTCATCTGGGTGTCTTCTGCTTTATCATGGTAGATCAAACTCCAAAGCCTGACCGACGAGTGCAGCAACTTGAAGAGCTTGTAAGGTTCTTTTCCGAAGTGGAACAGCATGTTGTCGTTGAACATGTCGTTAAAGATAGTTTTTCTTTATTTCTAGGCACTTTTGTATTATATCTTTTTGCACAAAACTGTTTTCAGTAGTGTAAAAGTATTTTGGTAGACAAATAAATTCCGTTTGCAACATACCATCGTTTCCTTTTGGGGGCACACGAGCCAAATGGCAGCGCTGCATCAGTCTTGCTTGTGTCTATATGCTCCAAAGTACCGAACAACTGTGCAATAGTGATAAGCTGCTACAAGTGTAGTGCATTTTGATTTTCTCCTGCTGCAACTGATCCCAAGCGGAAAATTTTGTGCTACAAAACTGCAACAAATTGCTTATGTGGCTGCTCTTAAATTGCTACAAAAGAGCCTTTTTCCTGCTCCAAAAATTGCTCGAAATCTTAGATTCTCTGGACCACCACTGATTAATATGAAAGAGCTTGCGCTATGCATATTGGTGTTTGACAGCTATAGCGCCGCTTAACGAGGATGCATTCATGTTGACGCATATTCGTACATCTCAATCACAATGACTAGCATCCATCATTAATGCCTAGACAAAACCCTTGTGGTCATAGATGCTTGTCATATCGGTAGTAGTTTATGATGAGAGCAGAACCAGTAGAAGCAATGTGACAGAATAGCTTGACTGACTGGACGCCGAACTTGGGCTAAGGTCGCCTACTCTAGATAATGTTAGACCTATTGTATATTACTGCCCGATCATAGGGAAGCGCAATACACGTCGTGTCGTCCCTTTGGCCGGCCGTGATAGTGCGAAGCGTGAGGCAAGTGAGAGCGCGAAGTTGAAGCCCCGCGAAGCCGGTTGTAAGGAAAGGACTTAAAGACGTCGAGGAGCACCAAACCAGAATTGAAGAAGACGAGCGGAGCAGCGGCAGACGGGAGACAGCAAGCCGAAGCGTCGGACGCAGGCGATCCAGGTTCCGGCCAGGGAACGCGGCCGTCCACGCTGCTGCCGTCCAACCACCAGCTGGGGCGGCATTGCCGGCACGAGTACTGCATCTTGGGGCGCGGCCTGGCCTGCTGTTCTATTCCTTGCCGAGGGCATCGCGGATCTCGGCGAGGCGTCTCCACGGTCAGCCGTTCAACACAGCGATGAACGTGGCCTGGCTAATGGTCACGGTTGCGTCGAGCATCGCGTCTCGGCGCACGCTCTTCGCTGGACGGGCTGGCCATTCCCCGCATGGAGCATCGCGTCTCCGATGCGGGTTGACTGCTCAGTAGTCGCACCCATGTCATCAAGCGCCGGTGTCACGAGAGCGTCGCACTTCGGCAAGGGACGAGCGAGATGTTATGCCGGGCGAGACGCGGGCGTGTGTACGGAGGACCATGGAGCCGGGCGAGGTTCAGGGTGGCCGAGGATTCAGATGCCAGGGGAGTTGCTGGCTGAATCAAGGATCGCCGAGTGGTGCCGAGCCGTACCGAGCGACGCACCAGCCTCGGAAGTGGGCCGCGAGCTCACGAGGTGCGCACCCGAGGGTACCTGGCTGTGCCCTGGCCAAGGCGACGAACGCCGGTGAGTGAGCTGCCGCACCGCAGCTGTAGTGAGCAGCATTTCAGCACGGCACAGACGGTGCTGTGCTGGCCAGAACCCGCACGTGGAACCGCTACGCCCGGAAGGTGATCAAAAGCTTGGAAACGAGGTCCGAGGTCGCGCTGGTCAAGGCATCTCCGCCACTGCAGCTCGAGAGTTGAGGCCACGAAGGCAGACGAAACGGTGTGCCGCTCGAGAGGACGAGTTCCTGGCAGCGTTCCTGAGCCGGACGTGAGACCCGTACGTGTCGGCCAGGTCGAGCTCCGGTGTTTCTGTTCAAGGTCCAAGGCCGAGACCTGCTGAACGGCTCCTGCCTGAGTGCAGTGGCCGGGAGCAGGTTCGTGGACGAGGCCTACCGGGTGTGGTCGTCATGAGCCGTGGCCTGATCCAGGACCTCCGGAGTTGCGACCCTGAATGCTGGGTTGGCCGCCACGTCCGACTAAACGGCGCTGCACATGGTAGCGTATCCGTGCGTCGTCAGCCGCTCCACCCATGCCATGAAATAAAAAGTTCATGTTAATGCTTTCTCGTCCGCTATCAACAAACACAGTGACGAACGTCCCGTAACCACTACACCGGTAAGCGTCGCAGAGCTATTTTTGGTATGGATGGATGCTATGAGTGACGCCCACGTTTGGGGTTAAACCCCACATATTAAGCAATTAATCTACGCTTGGGGTAAGGTCGCCACCTTTGGTTGTGTCAAAGCGTTGACAAAATTACAAAATTGCACTTCTCCTATTGAGAGCCCGTCGAATGGGATGAATGCTTGGAAACTACGTGATGAAGTTAACTATTCACTTATGTCACGATCATGATACATGACTCTACTTTACAAAGAATGCTGCGAGAAGACAGTGGCAGATGTAAAAGGCATATTTTTAATGCGTACAAAGAATGCGACTGTGGCATAGTGGATAGCGTGTTGATTATTTCCTTAGAGCGCAAATGCGCGAACTCGGGCGTGGACACAGAGAAGAAGATGAAGACCAGCGACAGCGTTTGCCAGGAACACTATGCCAGTAATTAGTCTGTGCTGTAAATTTATTCTTTAACTCTCAACCAGTGTGGTTTATTCTACAAGTGGCGCCAAAGACTCGTAGGGAGTTCGCGCCAGGAACCCACTACTGGAAGCCAGCCTTTCGGAAAGCAAGTGGAGGACTTTGCCGAATGCCGCCGGTGAAAGATATGCCAACACATTCACCTGTGCAACGGAAAGCCAGAAAGGGACTGTGATTCCTAGCAGCCCCACCAAAGCAAGTGAACGCCAGTTCCACGCTACGAATGTGAAGGTGAGCAACAAAAATTACTATCATGAGAGAGACAGTGAACCGCCTTAAAGGAAAGCGCACGTTGCGTCGACAAATGAATGCGCGCCTCATCGACAAAGCTAAGAGTGCTTTAGAAAGCGACAACATCGGTTACATAGTATCCCTAGTCGAA